ATTTGGAGCCGAACGGTCCAAAACTAGTTAAATGGGGGTAAGGATTAGTCAATACAAGCTCAGAAGATCACATTCCAATTATTAAAGCAATTTCCCAACCTTAAACACAAGTTTCAGAAAATTCGACCCCGGGCCCACGTGCCCGGATTCCGAAATGTTTCGAAGAAAGTTGTTCTTCATAACCCAAGGATCAATAATATATGATTTCTAATTCATTTCCTTACAAATTTTGTGGTCAAATCTAATTTTTGTTTTGCTCTAACCCAATAATTTTACCTTAATCTTTGTGTGTTAATCTACCCAAGACTCGAGTATTAAACAAGAAATAGGTAGGATAAACTTACCTAAAGATGCTAGGTGAAGGTCCTCTCACAAGAGCTCCAAAATCGCCCAATGGATGAGTGAAAAATGGCCAAAATGACTTAGAGCCCGTAATAAATGAAGCTCACTGCTTCAGTGATTTCCGCATCTGCGGTCGGGGGACCACATCTGTGGTCCCGCTTCTGCGAGGAAGAGGCCGTATCTATGGAATTGTCCAAGCGGGCTGGGACCGCTTCTGCAGTCTTGAAGCCACTTCTACGCAGCCTCTTCTGCAGCTTGGGAGCCTCTTCTGCAGTTTTGGGCCTAGCCTGCCTTGGCCGCTTCTGCGGTCTTGCACCTGCGGCTGACCAACTGCAGGTGCGGTTATGACAGAAACCATAAGCTTCAGCTCTTCTCAACTTTTCTAACTTCACTCGAGCCTCGTCCGATTGACGCTCGGGGTTCCTGGGCCCTGCCCGATCTTATCGACAAGTCTGAAATCATGAAACAGACCCCGTCGAACCTTCGGAATACCCAAAACAATGCTAAATCTACGAATCACCCCTAAAACTAATTGATCAAACTTATGAACTTCAAATTCTTAAATTCACTTCTAACGTGCCGAAACGTACTTATACTACTCGGGTTGACACCAAATTTTGTGGGCAAGTCTTAAATGTTATATTAGACCTGTACTGGGCTCTAGAACCAACATACGAGCCCGATACCAACGTGATCAATCATTATTTAGTTTTTTTAAATCCTTAGAATTTCAGTTTAACAATTTCTAATAAAAATTTATTACTCGGGCTAGTGACCTCGGAATTTGATTCCGGACAAATGCCTAGGTCCCATATTTTCCTACGGACCCTCCCAAACAGTCAAAACACGAATCTGGGTCCGTTTGCTTCAAATGTTGACCAAAGTCCAACTTAGCCTTTTAAGAAAATCTGAAGGAATCAAATGAGCATATTTCAATACAAATTCTTCCAAATCCCCAACCAACCATCCCTGTAGGTCATAAATTAGTTAAAACAAGCGTAGGAAGTCTTATTTAGGGGGATGGACATCCTCGAACGGACATAGAAAAGTACCTGAGGTGCTGAATAAATGTGGGTATTTGCTCCGCATGTCCTCCTCGGACTCCCAGGTCGCCTCCTCGACTGGTCGGCCCCTCCACTATCCCTTCACCATTGAAATCCTCTTGGATCTTAACTGGCGATCCTATCTATCAATAATGGCAACTGGCTTATCCTCATAACTCAGACTCTCATCCAACTAAATAGTACTGAAGTCTAACACATGGGACAAGTCGGCATGATACCTCCGAAGCATAGACACGTGAAAAACTGGGCGAACTCCCGATAAACTGGGGGATAAAGCAAGCTCGTAAGCAACCTCCCCAACTCGCCTTCAACATCTCAAATGGGCCAATAAACCTTGGGATCAGCTTGCCCTTCTTCCCGAACCTCATAACACCCTTTATTGGCGAGACTTTCAAGAGGACCTTCTCACCAACCATGAATGATACATCACATGCCTTCTGATCCGCGTAACTCTTCTGTTTGGACTGAGCTGTGTGAAGCCTCTCCTGAATCAACTTTATCTTGTCCAAGGCATCTTGCACCAAATCTATACCTTATAACTTAGCCTCACCAGGATCAAACCACCCGATAGGATAACAATACCACCGACCGTATAAAGCCTCAAATGGAGCCATCTCAATGCTGGACTGATAGTTGTTGTTGTAAGTAAACTCTGCCAAAGGCAAGAACTGATCCCACTATCCTCCAAAGTCAATCACACATGCTCTGAGCATGTCCTCCAAAATCTGAACTGTCTGCTCCGACTGCCCGTCGGTCTGAGAATGAAATGCTGTGCTAAGCTCTACATGGGTCCCCAACTCATTCTGGATGGGTATCTAGAAAAAGGAAGTGAACTGAGGGCCTCTATCTGATACGATAGAAACGGGCACACCGTGCAATCTGACTATCTCTCGAATGTAAATCTGGGTCAATCTCTCTAAAGTGTAAGAAGTCACAACCGGAATAAAGTGAGTTGACTTGGTCAATCTGTCAACAATGACCCATACTGTATCAAACTTCCGCAAGGTCTGGGGCAACCCAACTACGAAGTCCATAGTAATGCGCTCCCACTTCCACTCTAGTATAGGCATCTGCTGAAGTACGCCACCAGGCCTTTGGTGCTTATACCTAACCTGTTGGCAATTCAAACACTTAGCCACATACTCCACTATGTCCTTCTTCATTCTCCGCCACCAATAATGCTGCCTCAAGTCACGATACATCTTCGTCGCACCCAAATGAATGGAATACCACAAATTGTGTGCCTCCTCTAGTATCCTCTCCCTCAGACCATCAACATTAGGAACACATAGGCGACCCTAGAGTCGCAAAACACCATCCTCACCAATAAAAACCTCCCTGGTACTACCCTGAAGCACTATCTCTCTGAGAACTACCAAATGTGGATCATCGAATTGTTGGGCCTTGATCTGCCCCAATAATGACGACTAAGCAACCACACATGCAAGAACTCGGCTGGGCTCTGAAATATCCAACCTCACAAGTCTGTTAGCCAAGGACTAAATGTCCAAAGCTAGTGGCCTCTCCTCTGCTGGAATGAATGCCAAGTTACCCATACTCTCTGCTTTCATGCTTAAGGCATCCGCGACCATATTTGCCTTGCCCGGATGATAATGAATAGTGATGTCATAATCCTTCAGCAACTCAAGCCATCTACGCTGTCTCAAATTGAGATCCCTCTGCTTGAACAAGTGCTGTAAGCTGCGATGATCAGTATAAACCTCACATGATACCCCATACAGATAATGCCTCCATATCTTCAAAGCATGAACAATCACGACCAACTCCAAATTGTGCACATGATAATTCTTCTCATGGATCTTCAGCTGACGCGAAGCATATGCAATAACTCGCCCCTCCTGCATCAATACACATCCAAATCCAACGCACAAAGCGTCGCAATATACCGTATACATCCCTGAACCGGAAGGCAACACAAGAACTAGTGTTGTAGTCAAAGCTGTCTTGAGCTTCTGAAAGCTCGCCTCACAATCATCGGACCAGCGGAATGGAGCCCCCTTCTGGGTCAATCTAGTCAGAGGTGATGCAATAGATGAAAAGCCATGCACGAATCGTCTGTAATAACCTGCTAACCCCAGGAAACTCCTGATCTCAGTCACTGTAGTAGGATGTGGCCAACCCTAAACTGCCTCAATCTTCTTGGGATCCACCTTAATACCCTCTCCTAACACAACATGCCCCAAGAATGACACCGACTCTAGCGAAAACTCATACTTAGAGAACTTAGCATATAGCTTTTGCTCTCGCAAGGTCTGAAGCACTACTCTCAAATGCTGCTCGTTCTCCCCAAGCTACGTGAGTATATCAAGATGTCATTAATGAAGACGATGATAAAGGAATCAATATAAGGTCTGAACACTCTGTTCATCAAGTCCATATATGCCACTGGGGCATTAGTCAAGCCAAAGGACATCACCAGAAACAATGGCCATATCTAGTCTGGAATACAGTCTTCGGAACATCCGAGTCCCGAATCTTCAACTGATGGTATCCCTACCTCAAGTCGATCTAAGAGAACACCCTAACACTCTACAACTGGTCAAACAAATCGTCGATACGAGGCAAGGGATACTTGTTCTTGATGGTTACTTTGTTCAACTGGCAGTAATCAATGCACATCCACATAATCCCATCCTTCTTCTTCACAAATAACACTGGTGCACCGCAAGGCGATACATTGGGTTTAACAAACCCCTTTACTAACAACTTCTCAACCTGCTCCTTCAACTCCTTTAACTCCTTCGGAGCCATACGGTACGATGGGATAGATATAGGTTGGGTGCTTAGAGCTGAATCAATACAGAAATCAATATCACGATCCGGTGGCATGCCAGGATGATTAGAAGGAAACACATTGGCGAACTCTCACACTACTGGAACTGAATCAATCGACGGAGACTCTGCGATGGTATCCCGAGCATAAGCCAAATAAGCCAAACACCCCTTCTCGACCATATGCCGAGCCTTCAGGAAATAGATAACCCGGCTAGATGTATCAATTATGGAGCCCTTCCATTCCAACCTTGGCAACCCTGGCATTGCTAATGTAACAGTCTTGGCATGGCAATATAGGATGGCATGATATGAAGATAACCAATCCATGCCCAGGATGATCTTAAAGTCAATCATATTAAGCAACATGAGATTCGCTCTAGTCTCGAAACCACAGAATGTGACCACACAGGACCGGTAGATCCGATCCATAACCACAAAATCGCCCACATGAGTGGACACATGAACATGAGTGCCCAAAGGCGTAGGAGGAATAACCAGGAAACGAGCAAACATAGATGATACATACGAATAAGTGGACCCTGGATCAAACAATACCGAAACATCTCTACTGCAGACGAAAATAATACCTGTGATGACGGCATCTGAGGCCAATGCATCTGGCCTAGCCGGAAGGGCATAGAATCTGGTTGGAGCGCCAGCTGGCTGGCCTCCACCTGACTGAGCAGTAGCTGACTGACCTCTCCTTGCCTAGCCTCCACCTCTAGGACGACCTCTACCCACCTGTCCCCCGCCTCGGGGAGGCTGGGCAACCGGTGCTGAGATCATAGGCTGCTGACCCTACTGTACTGCTTTGCCCTGAAGTATGGGGCAGGTCCTCTTCATGTGACCTGGATCTCCACACTCGTAGCAACCCCTCGGAACCATAGCCTGCCGCCCTGAAGTCTGAGCCTGCTGACCAGAATATCCACCAAAAGAACCCTGAATGGTTGGTGGGCGATATGAACTCTCTGGCATGGCACTGAAGTAAGAACTGGAAGAACCATAATGACCAGAATACCCACCAGAGGAACCCTGAATAGCTGGTGGGCAGTAAGAACTCTCCGACATCGCACTGAAATAAGGTCTCACTGGAGCACCTCGGGGAGGTAGTGGTGGTGCTGAATACGGTGCCTGCTAGGCTGACCCCTCCCCGTGTGCCCCCCCAGTTGGGGCACCTCTGAACTCTCCAGAAAACCGGGCCCTCTGGTCATGCTGAAACTGCTCTCTATCCCTCTGGCGATAACCCTCAATTCTGCGAGCAATCTCCACAACTAGCTGATACTCAGTACCCATCTCTACCTCTCAAACCATGCTAGCTCGAATACCGTAAATCTCCATACTCTTTCTACATCTGTGGGAAGTATCATGAGTGCATGGCGAGACAACTCAGAGAACCTCATCTCATAATTGGTCACAGACATCTGACCCTGCTCAAGATACTCAAACTGATACCGCAACTCTTCCCTCTTAGAGAGGGATACACCTATCCAAGAATAACTGTGTGAACTGACCCCAAGTGAGGGGAGGAGAACCTGCTGGCCTGCCAAGAACATATGACTGCCACCATCTACGGGCCCTGGCCTCCAACTAAAAAGTAGTGAAGTCAACTCCATGCAACTCTAATATCCTTATGTTATGTAGTCTGTCCCTGCACCTATCAATGAAATCCTGGACATTCTCATAATGCTCAACCCCGAAGATAGGAGGGTGAATTCTATTCCATCTATGCAATAACTTTTGTAGGTCACCATCTGTAGCTGGTCTGGGCTCGTACATCACTACACTGACTGGCTGAGCCCTATCCGTGGGTAGTGCACCCAGAGTTTGATATACTGCAGCTGCGTGACCAGGGGCCTGAGCAGTAGGGGTCTGTGCTCCCCCTCCTGCCTGTGATGTAGCTGGATCTGCTGGAAATAAACCAGCCTGTGTCATGGTGTCCATGAACCGCAACATACGACCCATGACCTCCTTGAAACCCAGCGCTATCATAAAGTTTGCCGGGGTAGGCTCGACTGCGGGCACCTCTCCCTGCTCCTCGACGATAAGATATCCTGCAGGATCTTCTGGTGGTGCTACTAGGACAGCTCTGGGATGCCCTCGTCCCCTACCTCGGGCTGGTGCCCTTCCCCGGCCTCTGCCTCGGCCTCTAGCAACGGGGGGAGCAGCTCCTCCCGGGTATGGAACATCAGCCGTGCGTGTCCTCACTATCTGTGAGAGAATAGAAGAGGGAAATTTAGTATACCAACCACTGCACAATATGAAAAGAATAAAGTGTAGTTTTCCTAACACCCTATAGCCTCTCGAAGATAAATACAAATGTCTCCATACCGATCCGCAAGACTCTATTAGGTTTTCCCATGACTTGTGAGACCTACATGAACCTAGTGCTCTCATACCATGTTGCCACGACCCATTTTTCATTATAGGTCATGATGGCGCCCAACACCATTGCCGGGAAAGCCAACACGGAAATATAAATAAGTTCTCATTTTACTTTTACCGAAATAATTGCAGTAATCCCTTAAGTTACAACTAAAACAAGCGATAACCAGTAAAGTACCAAAAATAATTATACAATTCTCAAAAGAATAGTTTACTAAAGTATGTGCCAAGACCTGGTGTCACAAGTTGTGGGCAACTAGTAGAATATACAAAAGAATAAATCTATCCTACTGTCAGAAATAGAATAGACAACAAAAATAAATAAAGAGAGACTCCATTAAGCTGCTGGACGGCACAAGAAGGGAGCAACTTGATCGCAGCGGACTCAACCTAAGGAAGAGTGGGCGCTAATACTTTTACCCAATAGTGGTATCGGGGTCAATTTTCCACAGGGAGCTTCAATTTGGAGTTGAGTGTTTGTATGGTCTAGGACTATGTTTTAGCTCCTAATTGATCTTCTAACATTTTTGGTTTTCTTTTGATTATCAACTCAATATATCAACTACAAATTTAAAGCTAAGTTATGCTAAGATATTAATTCTAAGTTATATGCAATATAGAGAAAGGCACTAGGGTCGTGGCATGTATCTAGGTGGTCAACTAACGGGTAGAGATTCCTAATGCAAGAATGATGAATATGGGACTTATGCTATAA